AATTGCGTTGAACAATTTATGTCTTTCACACTTTTATTTGCGCTTATCTCCGCTACTGCCGTTGCACACTTCAAAAATCCATCTTCGTTGTCTAGGGCCTGCCGCTCGACACGGAATCGAAACAGGCCAAGGTTTTGGCAACAAGTATGGAGAACCTGGCCAACGCAGAACCACCCTCCTTAGCTCAGTACTTTTCCGACATGGGCCGCAACACCTGGCGCCGTGGCAAGGACTACGAACGCATCGATGGCAGCTTGAGTGCCAGTCTGCGCAACTCTCTGCAACACCAATTCAACAGTCCCAACAAGCGTTTTCGCCTGCTCATTATCTCCACTAAGGCCGGTGGTCTAGGTGTTAACCTAACGGGTGCCAATCGTCTGGTTATTTTTGATGTCTCCTGGAATCCCAGCCACGACATCCAGTCCATTTTCCGTAGCTATCGATTCGGCCAGACCAAACCGGTGTACATTTACCGGCTCTTGGCGCAGGGTACAATGGAGGAGAAGATGTACGATCGCCAGGTAGGGTCTTTTGATATTATTGATGCTATGGACTCCCTGCCTCATTTTGTGACTTTGTAACCGTGGACGTGTTTCCTAATTTATCCTCTCCTTTATTCTAGAATTGCGAAGATACTAATCAGCTATACAGAAACCTTGCTGCCTTGATACATGATATCAGGCTGTGCTCAAACTGGTTGTGTACTGTGCACACTGGCTCTAGTGCACTCCAGTCGTCGAAATTTTTCAGTTTCCATAATTGAACTGTCCCCGGGTTTTGTGGTTATTCTGATGTGTCGATTTGCTGTCTTTGCGTGGATACTTCAGAAAACTTCTTCCCGCCGAATCTGTCTGTGTTTCGTCTGTTCAACTTACCTCACAAGCTGGTAGGCCGTTGATATAAAAGTAATATTTGATTCCTATCATTCTCAAATTGTGTGTTCGAAGATGTCTGCCTGGTCGTAGTAGACTTTAAACCTTCGGTCCTAGTAGACAGATTATTTTACCTGAGGTCGACTTTTCTGCTAAGCTGCCTACATAAACACAAAGCCGAGCATTAGATCTACCAGAGGGGAGGCATTCAGGATGATGTCTATGCATCGATCACGTGGCGTATGTACCACTGTTATCAGGGCGCTAGAGCGGCATGCAATGACCACCTGCATGTTTGTCAATATTACAACCCCACCCGCGCGAATCTTTCAATTCGCAAGTCAGATACTCTGCCCTGCATTGCGCCACCGTCCTGTCTGATAGCCTTTCCACTCCGATTATCTGTTACAGGTCACGAAGCAGTCACTGGCTTTAAGAGTCGTTGATGAGCAGCAGGTTGAACGTCACTTCAGCGAGGATGATCTGCGTGAACTGTATGCCTTTGAGCCCGATATCTGGGACCCCGAGGCTGCAGCCAAGCGCCCACCGCCGCTTCTGCCCAAAGATCGCCTGCTGGCAGATCTGCTTTCCGAAATGCCGGAGCACATCTACAGCTACCACGATCACGACTCTCTGCTGGAAAACCGGATTGATGAGGGCCTGACTGACTCCGAACGTGCGGATGCCTGGCGAGAGTACGAAGAGGAGAAGCAGTTGGGCCGCTCCTACCTCGACTACCAGCAGAGACTGTTCTTTATCAACCAACAGCAACAGCAGCAGCAGCTACTGATAGCCGCTAACCTGTTGGCTGCTCAGGCGAACAATGGGCTGTTTATGCCAGTTGCAGGCAACATTAACCCCGTCAGGCATTTCCTCCCAGCGGTGCCTCCGAATCTCAACGCCGCCGGTATGGGCGTCGGTTCGCGGATGGCCCACCGGCCGGTTTCCCTGAATCCAGCCTCTATTCCGACCAACGCCTATACCGTAACTTCACAGACGGCAAACCCCATGTTTCCTGCACCGAACTCTCTCCGTCAGGCGTTCCCATCTTTGCAGAATAGCCAGCCGCGTCCTCAGCCACCAACAGGTAGGCAGATGTTCGGCCCGCCCTAGTCCATCTCCTTTTTGAGACGTCCGTTTCATATTCTTTGTTGCCTTTTCTGCAATGTTATTGGTATACTTAGATGGGTTTGATTGGTTTATTCTCAACCATAATCTGCTAACGAAACTGGTAGTCCTCACCTAGACTTGCTTGAAAGTGATCACTAACATACCATCGTCGTTTGAGAGATCGGACCGGGTGTAAGCACTCTTACCTAAACTGCCTCGTGTGCTTAACTATAAGATCGAACTGTGTATCGGATCAAGTTAGACCTGATTCCGCAATTGCTAGTTAAAAACTTGTGGCCCTCTCTGAGCACCGAGCTAGGTAGCCGATCTTTCAGCGACTTTACGAATAGAAGCACAAGCCGTAAAGGCCTTCCACTTGCTGTTGTCTGTTGATGTGTGCGCCTACCGCCTTTGTCTCAGTATTCTTCGAGATTTTCGTCTTTGGTTACGAGACCAAAAACGGTTCTTGACCTAACTACCGGCTGTTCAAGACAAGCCTTTAATCTAGCAAAGATCTTTGCACTTCTTGTCCATAGACGTAATCAGCCAGTTCTTGACTTGCCACTTACAACCTGAAAGTTGCCGAGAGGCAGACCGTTTTGACGTTATTTCGGATTGCTTTGCCGGCAGCTTTCTGCATTCCTGTGAGCTTTCCTCAACTCTCTTGGATCTACTCACTGAAATGGCATTGTTGTTTGACATATAACTCTTGCCTGTACTGATCGCAACTCCCTCCCATTTCTCTGCTGAACTTGCTGCTTATTTATAAGAGTTTGTTGGTCAAGGAGCTCCTGTAGGGTTCATTTTATTGTCTAGCATGTATTGCTGTCCAGTCAACGTAACCTCTGCCGCCTGTGAGGCATTCATGCAATGGTCCGTACTTTTAAGGCCGCATATTACGACACAAAATCCGCATTTCATATACGAAAGTACATTCTGCGTTAGGTTGTACTAATTAGTTTGCGTTCATGCGACGTCCATTCGAGAGACTTATTCGAGTAGAGCCTAACCAAGCCAAGGACGAGGTGCAGAAATGCCACCAGTATGTCTGATTAACTTTTAGCTATTTCTTTCCCTAACAGTATGTATTAGCTGCCTAACTGTCATGTGTACCTTTATGTGAGCGTCCGCACTACCTTAGTTGTGACTACGTTACATCAGGCGGAAAAGTGATGTTGCGTAAGAGCTTCGTGACATTCATTCGGCTGTAAGCAGATCGTTTCCATCCTGTAATCAGTTTAGGCTGCTGGAAATACATTTCATGAGACTATCCTAACTGCATCTTCTGAGCTCCTAAAACCAATATTCTTTGATCTCTCTTCTATTTACTTCTCCGCTCTTCTCCATATTTTACTTTATAATCATGACTTCTTTAGTCGCTCGTCCTCGCCCATCCAAAATCATTCGAACCCCCGGTCAGTCAGGCAATATTTCTGTGTACCTCTGCTCTCTCCTGCCGTTCAGCCTTTGCTTGGCGCTTGCGTAGCTGGCCTGTGTCACTTACTATTTCATTATGCGTTCCCCACCTCTTTTGTCCGATACTATTTGATGTTGGCTTCCTGGTTGTTGACGAGTAGCCGCTCTTTACAAGGTCGCAGGTCGAAGATTCTTGCTTTAAAAAAACTGTCGGTTTCGGTAAATAAATTATAGTCCTGTACTTGCTCTATCTGCCCCTCTTCGTTTTCTAATTTGGTAAGTTCCCCACAGTTCTCATGTTGGTAGCTCTAATCCATGCGCAGGTAAGACCTTGTGATTAAGCAGAAGATGACTCGATCACTGGGACAATACGTTTATTCGCTTGACGTTTCGACATCCGTTGCGGACTCATCATCAGAGACATTAGCAGGAAACAGGAGCAGAAACGGGTACTGCTACTGTTTCCTGCTAATGTCTCTGATGATGAATCCGCGACGGATGTCGAAGCGTCAGGCGAATAAACTTATTGTCACAGTGATCGAATCGTCTTCTTCTCATTTACTTTCTGGGACTCGCATGTTCGCTTGTATTTGCACCTTGTGATTAATTCTTAGGTTGAGTTTGTGTAGGCAACCATTACCTCAGACTGTGTATGCTCATGTCGGTTTTTTCACAGCTGAATCGAATGACTTCATCGGAACTTTGGCCAAGGTGTACAACTGCCTGTACTCGTCGTGTGTCTAAAAGTCTTATTGAATGCTGTGTTTGATCTCAACACAGTACTTCTTCTTGAGTCATTTCTCCTCAACTGTGTCAAAAAGAATAAACTTCATTCGATAATCAATAAGTCATACATAGCAGGTCATATTGGTCGTTTATGTCCAGGTTTGCCGTCTTTAGATAGCTGCGCTTCGATCGCAGGCTCACCTTCCCTGAAGTGTGAACCGAGGCGACTTGCAAACATGTTAAAGTCAAATCTTCTATCACGTCGGCTTACGTCCTGCCTACTGTAATCAGGTACATTCAAGATCTAACTGTCGTAAGAGTCGTTGGTCTACTCTTGAGATTGCAACCCAATCTTGCGCATGCTGGCTTACAGTCGGTGTATATAGTCGAAAGTCACGTCCGTGGAGCTGCCCTGTTATACTTTTCCAGGTTGTTTTTCCGAGTTCTAAATCTATGCCCAGGCATGTCTGAACCCTGCGTATAAACCTTCTTTTAGTTCTTTCGATGTTCTCTTGAGTCTGTCCGTTGCTTGGCTTGCTTATGTCTACACCTATGTACTCCTTTATGTGTTTCCTCGTCTCCTTATCCCTCTGTGTGTGCTTATATTTGTTCAGGATACCGATTGATTGCACCGCGACCTCTTCGTGATCAGTCAAGTAATTTACGCGTGCCCCACGCACGTCAACGCTCACTCGTGTTGCTACTGCTTCCGAGTTTCGCCGTTTTGATCTCCCTTCTTGTTTTGTTTTTTTTTGCATTTTTATTCCCTCAGCCGCCAGATGGAACTCACGAGCCCTGCCTTTTTTCCCATACGTTGACAGCATCTCCTTTTTTTCATAGCTACCTTGTCGGTTCTGGGATTTGTTTTGTTTTCTCGCCAACAGTTATCTTATGCTCCTTTTGCTTACTGTCTGGTTGTGGCATTGACTTCCGTGTATGTTTGTTTTTACTGCCACCCCTAACTAATTCTTTCGTTGCGGTGATCGTTCACGCCTACCTAACACAGTGAGTGCTCTTGGCTCCTAACTGAGCCTACACTGTAAACGTAAGTGCTACTGGGGAGATTTGTCGGTATCCCATCTGTTGGTTCGGGTGTGTAGCGGTCTAGGTAATGGTTGTGCTTAGAGCACTGCAATCATCAGGCCGAACCCCTGGTGGAAAGTAAAAAGGCAGAAATCACCAGAAGGAGTGATTTATTATGTACAGAATTTTGTCCCAGGGGGCGGTGGCCACTGGCGAAGCCAGGGCTAGAGTTGACTGTGTCCAACCAGACCTGAGAGAGCGTGGGACAGTGATTGCAGCTGCTTAAGTGGGTTTGCGGAGCAGGGTCAAGTAGTTTGTTATTGGTGTGTTGCAATTGCCCGAGGGGATGTCCTGCCTAGTGGCTTAGGCTCTGTCGACCGATGGTGGAGGAAGGAGGCCTATTC